CCGGGTGACACCCGACCTCGCTACGCCACTGCTCTTCCGCACTATTATATGTGCTTTATCACATTCATAAGGTGTGCAATGGTTTTTAGTCATGCAGTTCTATTGTAAATTTCTAAAATTTAAAGTACTGAAAAAAAAATTCATAAAAAATGTTTTAATAACAAGCCTTTATGTAATAATGCACTGAAAAGTAGAAAATAAATATACACTACTATTTTAATAACTATAAAGAAAATCGTGGGTCTCTTCCTAAATATTTTAAAAAGTTATTTTATGCACTGAACGTACTGTTTACTAATTACTATTTTTAACCCTTTATTTACGGAATTATGTTCTGAATGAGATTTTTACTTAAACAATGTGTTACTATATTGCTTTTGGCACATTCAAAGCATATGTCGAAGGAAATTTCGTTTCATAAATTTTTAATGGCCCAAACAGATATTGGTACTTATAAGTACCGTCAGTAATCTAGGACATTTTTTTTCAAAAATTTTTTTTTTACAAACCTGGAACTAACGATACAATTTATTAACTAATAACATGACAATCATTATAACAATCACTTTTTGTAATTTTCACACATAAATACAGCACAAAAGTATATTTTGAGTACGATTTTTACTGGATTTTATATCAGAACACATCTTAGACCTCAAACACAGCAAAAGTAGTCGACATGTCAAGCTCCCTCAATCTTGTCTGTGGTCTTTCTGGTGTAGCAACAGTTGCCGGAATGAATATGCTTTTGCTGGAAGTTTCCAATAACTAGTACAATGAGCCGCATAAACAAACAAAAGCCTAATCATTCAGCACACAACTACTAGTAATACTAGTATAATTGTAGCCTACTAGAATGTTTTGGCAAGTCTACACTACAGTGCAAAGTTCATAAATAGAAGTAAGCTCAATGTGTTTTGGAAGAAGTAGCGGATTACTCTTTTCTGTTTACTGCTTAAAATTTACCTTATAGATCTATACTAAATGCAGAAGTATGGAATATTACTAGTCTACAGGTATACATTATGTAAATGCTAGTTATTGTACGCAAGACAGTTTATTGCAGTAAATATAACTAACAAATTAAATCTTACAACTAGAACTTGGCTTTGGTATACAAATGAAGTATACTAAACCGTGTAAACAAGCCTGCAACTAATACCTTTATTCTTGTTATTTTTTTTACTACTAGAAATTAACATGTAATTACAATATTTCTTAGGTAAACCATATGCAAACCTTCTTATAAATGTGTAAATATCATTTTTTGAGTGCATTTCGATAATTAATTATCAAGACAATATTTATGTAACTCCACCTAACAAATCTGCCATTTTCTAAAAATCCTAAAAAAATGACCGTGTGCCCTGACGGTACTTATAAGTCCACTTGTAAACATCGATCTAATACAAAGACAATTTGATTAAAATTGTATAACTAGAAGTTAAATGCGTTTGCCTGACTATTGAAGGTGCCAATAAAAAATTTTTGGGGTTGAAAACTTGAAAAATAAGGTAAAACAAAGGGAAATCAGGAACGTGTGTGAGAAATGTACAAAATAATTGTGAACTACCGATATAGCAAGACATTGAAAAAGCGCCACACCAGTAATTTTAAAAAAAACAACATTGATACCTCCGACTACCGGCGACTCAGGGGAGATAATACTATTAAATACATCAATAATTTTTAAAATTCGTATTAAATTAAAAATAATACAGACACTTAATTGAAGTGGTACTTATAAGTACCGTCAGTAGATAAAGGGTTAATCAATAACAGTTTAGAGGCCGCTCCGAAATGTCATCTATGTTTACTTCTATCTGTTGGTTTGCAGATATTATAAGCTGGGGGGGGGGGGGGTATTATAGTTGTTCACAATATTGAATCAGGCAAGTCTGCCAGCACTCCGGCAGGGTTTGATTTTGGCGCCCAGGGCTATCCTGTGAACACTATGGTGCATACGTTCTTACTAAACAGTGCGCTAGACCAGGGGTCGGCAACCTGCGGCTCGCGAGCCGCATGCGGCTCTTTTGATATCAAGATGCGGCTCTCCAGCTCATTGAACAAATACTAATAATCTTAATAAAAAAATAAAATATTTGAAATAAAAAAAATGTTATTGGCTCTTTAAAACCAGGGAAATTTTAAAAAATGTAACTTTTTACTCTTCCGCTTCAAAAGGTTGCCGACCCCTGCGCTAGACTATGGATATGAAAGGTTACTATAGACCTAAATTAAATCGAATCTGGGCGCCCAGGCCTTCCCATTAGCACTATGGCAACTATGTTCGTTTTAAACAGTGTGATAGATTATAAATAACATTGGGTACTATAGTCATTTACTAAGATGAATCAGGTCGTTCTGCGATTTGGTTCTGCTGGCGCCTCGGCAGGTGCGATTTGGTGCCCTGGGCTATACTGTGAGCACTATGCTTTTATGCTTTAATTTAAGTTTGTGTTTATGTTCTGCGCTATTGTTTTGCATTTATGTTTGCGTTTTATTTGTGTTTTTGTTTGCTTTTGTAGTTGCTTTAGTGTTTGCATTTTTGTTTGACTTTGTGTTTTTGTTTGCGTTCTCTTATGTGTTTGCATTTGTGTTTGTTTACATTCAGGGGCGATTTACAGTGTCGCTGATTCCCCCAAAATGGGGGGGGGGGGGCACGCCATTTAGGGGCCCATAGCCGATCATAATAAATTTTTTATAGTTTAAAAAAAAATAATTTTCTTGCATTTTTGACTTGACGGTAAAAGCTTTTTTAAATAACAAACAGATCTACTTCAGTAGTGATGTTATAGAGTAGCTAACACAAGCTGTTGCGTAAAAAAATATATGACTGAGCTGTAATGTGAAAGATAGGCAAACGTTCAAAACACTTCCATGACTTATTCCTTTTTTAAATAGTTAAATAGGGGTGCTCATAAGCTCCTTTTTATATATTTGTACTAAACAAATTAAAAAGCAATTACTTCTCTTAATTATTTAATAAAAAGAATGACATAGCATAAAAAGGAAATATATTTAAAACAAATAATATAAATAAAAATAAAATAAAAAAATAAACATAAAATGAGAAACCATTACACATACAAAGCTTTCACGTTTTATATTCTTTTGACCGGCTAAAAACTATAGGGTAGGTCAGGGGTCGGCAACAGTTAAATTTATTTACTAATTCTAATCAAATACCAAAATATTGGAAAAATAATTTTAGTGGCTCTTTAAAAACTGGGAAATTTTGTAAATAACTTTTGGCTCTTTCGTCTCAAAAGATTGCCGACCCCCGGGGTAGGTGGTACTACAGCAAACATATTGAATAAACTAGTTCTAAATCTAAAATTAAAAAAAAATAATTCAAAACAGGATAATGCACGCACACACAAGACATGTTGCAATTTGTTTAAATTGAAAAAAAAAAAAGACATTTTTTTTCAAAACCCGATCAGGCCAGAAATGAGTATCCAATGTTTGTATTCTGTGTTTGAATATATATATATATATATATATATATGCCTATATATTGGGGGGCCAGAAATATTTTTTTTGCGGGGTGGCCCTTTTTTTCTAGTTCCGCCACTGTTTACAGTTGTGTTTGTTTTTATGTTTGTTTAAGTTTTTGTTTGGGTTTGTGTTTTCGTTATGAGTTTTCATTTGTGTTTTGGTTGGTTGTGGTTAGGGTTTATTCGAAGAGTAATATATTTCCTAAACCCGGGCAATGCCAGGTATATGCTGCTTAATAAACACACAAGTCACTGTCCTTTACAGATAGGTTTTTCACAGAGGCCAGTGCAGGGCCTGGCCGGGAGGGCTAGTACTCTACTAAATTCTATTAATGTTTTTGTACAGCTGGCGTCCTGGTTCTCGCTGTCTCTTTACATTTTAAGTCTAAATTTTAATGTTCATGTTTCTAAGTCTAAATTTTAATGCTTTTGTTTCTAAAAGTCTAAATTTTAATGTTCATGTTTCTAAAAGCCTAAATTTTGAGCTTTTTTTTTTAAAAGGGAAGGGTGGCCTTTTTTTTTCAAGAACAACTATTGAACTTAGTTATAAACTAGTAGGCCTATATGTTGTAAAGCTTAGCATAATAATAAATAATTGTATGCTTTGGTGACACGTCTGTGTAATGATGTTGATCTGGTGAATTTTGAGGATTTGTAGAGCTCACTGCATTGCCATGTAAAAGGTTTTTAGCTCTAAGCTAATCTCTAGGCTAGACAATTAATGTTAAGCTAATCTCTAGGCTAGACAATTAATGTTAAGATAATCTCTAGGCTAGACAATTAATGTTAAGATAATCTCTAGGCTAGACAATTAATGTATCAGTCATGTCCAGTCCACAGATTATAGTCAACAGTGGTAACCCTGAGGGTGATGGAGGAACTGCTGGACCCAAGGACCCAGTTGGAAAGATGCTCAGTGTTTTTACATCAAACTATACACAGCAATTTTAAAATTTACATTTTATCAAACTAGACAAACTATACACAGCAATTTTAAAATTTACATTAATTTTATCAAACTAGATATTGAACTCTTTAATTGCATTTTCCCCCGTGAATCTCGAAACATTTTCCCTTTTTTGAATGCCTGTAAGATGGGTGCATACTTAAGTACTCAGGCTAAAAAACTGCTTGTAGCAAATTTAAGCCTTAATTTCATTTGACTGGATATTTAAAAATAAACACCACTTCAATTTGTGTGAATCAAAGACTGAGGTCTTCAAGCATGCTTTGTCTTTAAATCTGAAAGGAAAAAACTATTGCAATACCTTTAGGCTCCCTATTTATTATTTGATTATTTCTATTGTCAAAAGCAACTCTTTGACTAAAGAAAGAAAGTTTGATTTATTTTCTTATAATTGGAGCATTTAAAAGCTTTTTTTTTACTTGTGTGTTTGGTATTTCAAAAGACTTGTGTAAAATATTTCAATTATCTCTCTGTTTATTACCAATTGCACTGCTCATTTCTATTGAATGATGTAATGAATAGTTCACAGCAAGCAGTATTAAGTAAAATTGTTTATTTTTACTAATTACAATTTTTTTGCCTAATATACCATTAAATGTCTTTTCAAATTAGAAAGTCTTACATCTTTCTTCTTTTACAGCCTGTCACTAAACTGTCATTTTTTTGTTTCCAAACTAAGTCAACCAAAAAATGTTAAATGTATTGCACCAAATCAGGGACTCAAATCATTTGTTTGTTCTGGCCACTAGTAAATCCGTGAGTTGGACAAAATCCTTCCAAAGTTGAAATTGTGTCCACCGGTCAACTTCTGATATTTTCCCCAAGCCCCCAGTGGGATGACTAGAACTGTGACATTGTCTTCTGAACCAAAGTGCTGGGCTTGGTCTGAGAGACGGCTGCAGGCTTCTTGTGGGCTCTGGCAGCTGCTGACAATGTTGACCATTTCCTCGTCACTCAGGGCAAAGCTTAGGCCATCGGAGCTTAGGATAAGAAAGGCATCAGAGCCGTGCTTGACCTGAGACAGATACAGTTCATCAGTCAACTCAGTTCTACAGCACTAGAAAGTCAACTCAGTTCTACAGCACTAGAAAGTCAACTCAGATCTAGAGCACTAGAAAGTTCTACAGCACTAAATTTCGTTTATCTATCTGAAATAGTAGTCAAGTTATAGGCTTTTGAAAAATTGAAGTTAGAATAAGTTCCACTTCCGCTTATCGGAAATCGCTGAAAAGTTTATACAAATTTGATATAATACTTATATATGGAATTTCATTAACCTAGCTGTAATGGTACTCAAGTTATCGTGTTTACACACACACACAGACATACGGACAAGATCGCAAAACTATATTTTTCTCACTCAGGGAGGTGTAAAACATCAAGATCTGTGAAAATCTCATTTTTTTTGGAACTATTACAATACTTTATATTTCGTATACGAGAAAGTAAAAAAGTTAGTTTTAAAATTGATACAACATAATGATAGCTTTTTTTTTTTACATCACATTTGGGTTAATGGTTAGAGTTACATCAGATTTGGGTTAATGGTTAGAGTTACATCAGATTTGGGTTAATGGTTAGAGTTACATCAGATTTGGGTTAATGGTTAGAGTTACATCAGATTTGGGTTAATGGTTAGACTTACATCAGATTTGGATTAATGGTTAGAGTTACATCAGATTTGGGTTAATGGTTAGAGTTACATCAGATTTGGGTTAATGGTTAGAGTTACATCAGATTTGGGTTAATGGTTAGAGTTACATCAGATTTGAGTTAATGGTTAGAGTTACATCAGATTTGGGTTAATGGTTAGAGTTACATCAGATTTGGGTTAATGGTTAGAGTTACATCAGATTTGGGTTAATGGTTAGAGTTACATCAGATTTGGGTTAATGGTTAGAGTTACATCAGATTTGAGTTAATGGTTAGAGTTACATCAGATTTGGGTTAATGGTTAGAGTTACATCAGATTTGGGTTAATGGTTAGAGTTACATCAGATTTGGGTTAATGGTTAGAGTTACATCGGATTTGCATCAAGAGTGACTGTGATTGAAGGCTTTAGGACCAACAGTGGTGTAGGCAGGGTCAGGTAGGGCAGTGCTGTGACTCCATATGACTTACTTCTATTGACCTCAGGTAGGGCAGTGCTGTGACTCCATATGACTTACTTCTATTGACCTCAGGTAGGGCAGTGCTGTGACTCCATATGACTTACTTCTATTGACCTCAGGTAGGGCAGTGCTGTGACTCCATATGACTTACTTCTATTGACCTCAGGTAGGGCAGTGCTGTGACTCCATATGACTTACTTCTATTGACCTCAGGTAGGGCAGTGCTGTGACTCCATATGACTTACTTCTATTGACCTCAGGTAGGGCAGTGCTGTGACTCCATATGACTTACTTCTATTGACCTCAGGTAGGGCAGTGCTGTGACTCCATATGACTTACTTCTATTGACCTCAGGTAGGGCAGTGCTGTGACTCCATATGACTTACTTCTATTGACCTCAGGTAGGGCAGTGCTGTGACTCCATATGACTTACTTCTATTGACCTGAGGTAGAGCAGTGCTGTGACTCCATATGACTTACTTCTATTGACCTCAGGTAGGGCAGTGCTGTGACTCCATATGACTTACTTCTATTGACCTTAGGTAAGGCAGTGCTGTGACTCCATATGACTTACTTCTATTGACCTCAGGTAGGGCAGTGCTGTGACTCCATATGACTTACTTCTATTGACCTCAGGTAGGGCAGTGCTGTGACTCCATATGACTTACTTCTATTGACCTCAGGTAGGGCAGTGCTGTGACTCCATATGACTTACTTCTATTGACCTCAGGTAGGGCAGTGCTGTGACTCCATATGACTTACTTCTATTGACCTTAGGTAAGGCAGTGCTGTGACTCCATATGACTTACTTCTATTGACCTCAGGTAGGGCAGTGCTGTGACTCCATATGACTTACTTCTATTGACCTCAGGTAGGGCAGTGCTGTGACTCCATATGACTTACTTCTATTGACCTCAGGTAGGGCAGTGCTGTGACTCCATATGACTTACTTCTATTGACCTCAGGTAGGGCAGTGCTGTGACTCCATATGACTTACTTCTATTGACCTCAGGTAGAGCAGTGCTGTGACTCCATATGACTTACTTCTATTGACCTCAGGTAGGGCAGTGCTGTGACTCCATATGACTTACTTCTATTGACCTCAGGTAGGGCAGTGCTGTGACTCCATATGACTTACTTCTATTGACCTTAGGTAGGGCAGTGCTGTGACTCCATATGACTTACTTTTATTGACCTCAGGTAGAGCAGTGCTGTGACTCCATAAGACTTACTTCTATTGACCTCAGGTAGGGCAGTGCTGTGACTCCATATGACTTAAGTTCAACATCTCCAAGACTCCTGGTCATAGCTAATCTCCCATTGACATGTGCCACACCTTGGCTGTTGTGAATAATCCGTCCACCTACATGACACATACATAGACAGTTGTATGTGGAGTAGTTAGACATACAGTTGTTGTTGGAGTAGTTAGACATACAGTTGTTGATGGAGTAGTTAGACATACAGTTGTTGTTGATGGAGTAGTTAGACATACAGTTGTTGATGGAGTAGTTAGACATACAGTTGTTGTTGATGGAGTAGTTAGACATACAGTTGTTGATGGAGTAGTTAGACATACAGTTGTTGATGGAGTAGTTAGACATACAGTTGTTGATGGAACAGTTGGTGTTGATGGAGTAGTTAGACATACAGTTGTTGTTGATGGAGTAGTTAGACATACAGTTGTTGTTGATGGAGTAGTTAGACATACAGTTGTTGATGGAGTAGTTAGACATACAGTTGTTGATGGAGTAGTTAGACATACAGTTGGTGTTGATGGAGTAGTTAGACATACAGTTGGTGTTGATGGAGTAGTTAGACATACAGTTGTTGTTGATGGAGTAGTTAGACATACAGTTGTTGATGGAGTAGTTAGACATACAGTTGTTGATGGAGTAGTTAGACATACAGTTGTTGTTGATGGATTAGTTAGACATACAGTTGTTGATGGAATAGTTAGACATACAGTTGGTGTTGATGAGTAGTTAGACATACAGTTGTTGATGGAGTAGTTAGACATACAGTTGTTGTTGATGGAACAGTTGGTGTTGATGGAGTATTTCTACAGTTTTTCCAACCTTTCTTTAAAATTCTGCTAGATTCATCAACATCTTCTGGGTCATGGTCTATTGAAAGTCTGATAGGTTTCCCATCCCGACACAAGACTGCTAGACTGTCACCAACATGGGCCACGACAAGTTCAGATGAGTTCCTCAACAAACATACAGTTGCTGTAGTACCAGTCTTGAATGTGTCATCATCTGATGGTATCAACATGTGTGTCATCTAATGGTATCAACATGTGTGTCATCATCTAATGGTATCAACATGTGTGTCATCTGATGGTATCAACATGTGAGTCATCTAATGGTATCAACATGTGTGTCATCTAATGGTATCAACATGTATGTCATCATCTAATGGTATCAACATGTATGTCATCATCTAATGGTATCAACATGTGTCATCTAATGGTATCAACATGTGTGTCATCATCTAATGGTATCAACATGTGTGTCATCTAATGGTATCAACATGTGTGTCATCATCTAATGGTATCAACATGTGTGTCATCTAATGGTATCAACATGTGTGTCATCATCTAATGGTATCAACATGTGTGTCATCTAATGGTATCAACATGTGTGCCATCATCTAATGGTATCAACATGTGTGTCATCATCTAATGGTATCAACATATGTGTCATCATCTAATGGTATCAACATGTGTGTCTTCTAATGGTATCAACATGTGTGTCATCTAATGGTATCAACATGTGTGTCATCTAATGGTATCAACATGTGTGTCATCATCTAATGGTATCAACATGTGTGTCATCTAATGGTATCAACATGTGTGTCATCATCTAATGGTATCAACATGTGTCATCTAATGGTATCAACATGTGTCATCTAATGGTATCAACATGTGTGTCATCATCTAATGGTATCAACATGTGTCATCTAATGGTATCAACATGTGTGTCATCTAATGGTATCAACATGTGTGTCATCTAATGGTATCAACATGTGTGTCATCTAATGGTATCAACATATGTGTCATCTAATGGTATCAACATGTGTCATCTAATGGTATCAACATGTGTGTCATCTAATGGTATCAACATGTGTGTCATCTAATGGTATCAACATCTGTGTCATCATCTAATGGTATCAACATGTGTGTCATCATCTAATGGTATCAACATGTGTCATCTAATGGTATCAACATGTGTGTCATCTAATAGTATCAACATGTGTGTCATCTAATGGTATCAACATGTGTGTCATCTAATGGTATCAACATGTGTGTCATCTAATGGTATCAACATGTGTGTCATCTGATGGTATCAACATGTGTGTCATCATCTAATGGTATCAACATGTGTGTCATCATCTAACGGTATCAACATGTGTCATCATCTAATGGTATCAACATGTGTGTCATCTAATGGTATCAACATGTGTGTCATCATCTAATGGTATCAACATGTGTGTCATCTAATGGTATCAACATGTGTGTCATCTAATGGTATCAACATGTGTGTCATCATCTAATGGTATCAACATGTGTGTCATCTGATGGTATCAACATGTGAGTCATCTAATGGTATCAACATGTGTGTCATCTAATGGTATCAACATGTATGTCATCATCTAATGGTATCAACATGTATGTCATCATCTAATGGTATCAACATGTGTCATCTAATGGTATCAACATGTGTGTCATCATCTAATGGTATCAACATGTGTGTCATCTAATGGTATCAACATGTGTGTCATCATCTAATGGTATCAACATGTGTGTCATCTAATGGTATCAACATGTGTGTCATCATCTAATGGTATCAACATGTGTGTCATCTAATGGTATCAACATGTGTGCCATCATCTAATGGTATCAACATGTGTGTCATCATCTAATGGTATCAACATATGTGTCATCATCTAATGGTATCAACATGTGTGTCTTCTAATGGTATCAACATGTGTGTCATCTAATGGTATCAACATGTGTGTCATCTAATGGTATCAACATGTGTGTCATCATCTAATGGTATCAACATGTGTGTCATCTAATGGTATCAACATGTGTGTCATCATCTAATGGTATCAACATGTGTCATCTAATGGTATCAACATGTGTCATCTAATGGTATCAACATGTGTGTCATCATCTAATGGTATCAACATGTGTCATCTAATGGTATCAACATGTGTGTCATCATCTAATGGTATCAACATATGTGTCATCTAATGGTATCAACATGTGTGTCATCTAATGGTATCAACATATGTGTCATCTAATGGTATCAACATGTGTGCCATCATCTAATGGTATCAACATGTGTGTCATCTAATGGTATCAACATGTGTGTCATCTAATGGTATCAACATGTGTGTCATCTAATGGTATCAACATGTGTGTCATCTAATGGTATCAACATATGTGTCATCTAATGGTATCAACATGTGTCATCTAATGGTATCAACATGTGTGTCATCTAATGGTATCAACATGTGTGTCATCTAATGGTATCAACATCTGTGTCATCATCTAATGGTATCAACATGTGTGTCATCATCTAATGGTAACAACATGTGTGTCATCATCTGATGGTATCAACATGTGTGTCATCTAATGGTATCAACATGTGTGTCATCATCTAATGGTATCAACATGTGTCATCTAATGGTATCAACATGTGTGTCATCTAATGGTATCAACATGTGTGTCATCTGATGGTATCAACATGTGTGTCATCATCTAATGGTATCAACATGTGTGTCATCATCTAACGGTATCAACATGTGTCATCATCTAATGGTATCAACATTTGTGTCATCTAATGGTATCAACATGTGTGTCATCATCTAATGGTATCAACATGTGTGTCATCTAATGGTATCAACATGTGTGTCATCATCTAATGGTATCAACATGTGTGTCATCTAATGGTATCAACATGTGTGTCATCTAATGGTATCAACATGTGTGTCATCTAATGGTATCAACATGTGTGTCATGTAATGGTATCAACATGTGTGTCATCTAATGGAATCAACATGTGTGTCATCTAATGGAATCAACATGTGTGTCATCTAATGGAATCAACATGTGTGTCATCTAATGGGATCAACATGTGTGTCATCTAATGGTATCAACATGTGTGTCATCTAATGGTATCAACATGTGTGCCATGATCTAATGGTATCAACATGTGTGTCATCATCTAATGGTATCAACATGTGTGTCATCTAATGGTATCAACATGTGTCATCTAATGGTATCAACATGTGTGTCATCATCTAATGGTATCAACATGTGTCATCTAATGGTATCAACATGTGTGTCATCTAATGGTATCAACATGTGTGTCATCTAATGGTATCAACATGTGTGTCATCTAATGGTATCAACATGTGTGTCATCTAATGGTATCAACATGTGTGTCATCTGATGGTATCAACATGTGTGTCATCATCTAATGGTATCAACATGTGTGTCATCATCTAACGGTATCAACATGTGTCATCATCTAATGGTATCAACATGTGTGTCATCTAATGGTATCAACATGTGTGTCATCATCTAATGGTATCAACATGTGTGTCATCTAATGGTATCAACATGTGTGTCATCTAATGGTATCAACATGTGTGTCATCTAATGGTATCAACATGTGTGTCATCTGATGGTATCAACATGTGTGTCATCATCTAATGGTATCAACATGTGTGTCATCATCTAACGGTATCAACATGTGTCATCATCTAATGGTATCAACATGTGTGTCATCTAATGGTATCAACATGTATGTCATCATCTAATGGTATCAACATGTGTCATCTAATGGTATCAACATGTGTGTCATCTGATGGTATCAACATGTGTGTCATCATCTAATGGTATCAACATGTGTGTCATCATCTAATGGTATCAACATGTGTCATCATCTAATGGTATCAACATGTGTGTCATCTAATGGTATCAACATGTATGTCATCATCTAATGGTATCAACATGTGTCATCTAATGGTATCAACATGTGTGTCATCATCTAATGGTATCAACATGTGTCATCATCTAATGGTATCAACATGTGTGTCATCATCTAATGGTATCAACATGTGTGTCATCTAATGGTATCAACATATGTGTCATCTAATGGTATCAACATGTGTGTCATCTAATGGTATCAACATGTGTGTCATCTAATGGTATCAACATGTGTGTCATCTAATGGTATCAACATGTGCGTCATCTAATGGTATCAACATGTATGTCATCATCTAATGGTATCAACATGTGTGTCATCTAATGGTATCAACATGTGTGTAATCTAATGGTATCAACATGTGTGTCATCTAATGGTATCAACATGTGCGTCATCTAATGGTATCAACATGTGCGTCATCTAATGGTATCAACATGTATGTCATCATCTAATGGTATCAACATGTGTGTCATCTAATGGTATCAACATGTGTGTCATCTAATGGTATCAACATGTGTGTCATCTAATGGTATCAACATGTGTGTCATCATCTAATGGTATCAACATGTGTCATCTAATGGTATCAACATGTGTGTCATCTAATGGTATCAACATGTGTGTCATCTAATGGGATCAACATGTGTGTCATCTAATGGTATCAACATGTGTGTCATCTAATGGTATCAACATGTGTGTCATCTAATGGTATCAACATGTGCGTCATCATCTAATGGTATCAACATGTGTGTCATCTAATGGAATCAACATGTGTGTCATCTAATGGGATCAACATGTGTGTCATCTAATGGTATCAACATGTGTGTCATCTAATGGTATCAACATGTGTGCCATGATCTAATGGTATCAACATGTGTGTCATCATCTAATGGTATCAACATGTGTGTCATCTAATGGTATCAACATGTGTCATCTAATGGTATCAACATGTGTGTCATCATCTAATGGTATCAACATGTGTCATCTAATGGTATCAACATGTGTGTCATCTATTGGTATCAACATGTGTGTCATCTAATGGTATCAACATGTGTGTCATCTGATGGTATCAACATGTGTGTCATCATCTAATGGTATCAACATGTGTGTCATCATCTAACGTTATCAACATGTGTGTCATCTAATGGTATCAACATGTGTGTCATCTAATGGTATCAACATGTGTGTCATCTAATGGTATCAATATGTGTGTCATCATCTAATGGTATCAACATGTGTGTCATCTAATCGTATCAACATGT